GCGGAGGCAGACGTTCCTGATTTTGTGTGAGCGTTTGCGCTTCGGCGGAAAACAACTTCAGTCTGCAGCAGTGTGTCGAGATACTTGCCCAGAGGTGATTGTTGGCCGTTGCAGTCTTTGGCAGGTTGTTTGAGCAAGTATTGGCTGTTTCGCCTTCCTATCTGAGAGCATTCACAGTTCGCACCGAAGTCATCGCAATTGTGACTTGACAATCTGTGCCGTTTTATTCTGTTTTTGTTAGGTAAAATGATACGCCACCTCGATCGCTACAAGCGACCATCACTGATGGCTGGTGTATACGGAAAAGTTAGTGATAAAGAACCAGATGAAAAAATTGCGTACGTGGTTATGGTATGTGCCCGGTTTTGACTTCACTTAAATGGAAGTACTGATGCCGACTGACTTTTTTTAGAAGAAAGATTTCAACTTCAAATTTCCGGATCTTTTCCCATCCGAAGAAAGAGAAGAAGAGGAAAAGCAATTGAAAAGATTGCAAAAGGCGTTCGTGGCTGAAAATGAGAAGTATACTTCTAGTTGGAAAGCGCTTGGCATACCATCGTGGTTTAATTGATGTCTCTTTTAGTCTGTTGTGTAAAATTGAAGTTGTCGCAGTTTTAGTTATTAAATGTTTGCGTGGTATAATTGTGTATCATATCTTTTGATGCTGTTCACCAGATATGATAGAGTTAATGTGCGTTTTAATCTGACTCGACTAGAAGAGTAACTATCATTTAACATGTGCTTCGATGATGGACACCATTTACGGTATCTTTATTTCAAGAAGCGGGTGTTGCAGCTCTGGTTCTGTTCATTTCATTGGCCAGAAATTTTCTGTTTATAATTACAATATCTACAGTTATATTACATTACAGCGTGTAGCTCAACTAAAATGGAATCACGACCTTCTTAAATGTCATCTCTGAAAAGGAAGATAGTGCAGTCCTTCATTAAACTATTTTTGGAGATATTTCCCTGTTAACCTTGCAGAGGTGAAATCATATTTTAATATATTATCAACAGTCGTTTTATACTGTCTTCTGGAATCGTGTAAATTGTTGCTTTGCTTAGGGTGTTTAATCGCTTCCGATGGCCAACGACATGGGGGAACGCATCAATCTGCACTGCTGATACTTTTACTTACAGCTTATGTACTTACAAACTCATGCAGCTCTGATCCGTCCTGTACATAGCATTCGCACGAAACAGAGATAATGATGAAAACCTTCGTCCATATTGCGTTTTCCTGTGTACCATTGTTTACAAATACCTCTACTGCCCTTGATTTTGGTTTACAAAACCCGTAGTCTAAAAAAGGATCAATATGCAAACGACGAGCTGAAACGTGTAATACTCGACAGGCAGCCAGTGTCGTTGTCATCGCAAACAACTTCGTTGATGAACCGTGGGTAGTAATTTGACGGCAGGATTCGCATTGCTGAACAGAAGTTGCACAGGCCCAAAGTGTTGGTCATTCGCCATAGCGGAGTTCCTTTCGTGTAGTCACATCGTCGTAAAATAACGATCCCAATCGCTGAAATTGTGTCTGGTTGAAAAATGTGAAAAGTTACTTTTAGTCAGGGAATAGTAATCTTAATTTCACACGTCACGTAGTCAGCTGTTTTTAACGGCGATTAATGATCGGTAAACGTTTAAGAAAAATTCCATTATCGTACCTAACCTCGTTATTTTTGCTCCATAAGCTTTAGTGGGAATATATCGCTAGTCTTTTCTCAGAGTCGATCTGACATGATTGAATTCTATGAGAAAGACGTATGCTCCTGCTTACACACGTTAAAACAAAGTGGTTCCGCTGGTCTCGATAAAATTTCAGACATGTTACTAAAATCTTGTACCGGTGAACTATATCCATTCTTTTCAACAAATTTATCAGAAGCGCCGCGATTCCGCAACCATGGCGCATTGATAATATAATACCTGTGAAAATGTCCAATCCTACATCATCGAATCGTTACCGGCTAGTAGTCTTGCAGTTAATTCCATTGAAAGTTCTGAAGCGGCTACTGCTCAGACGAATGCATGCCTGAGTATGCATGATATGGCATGTATTGTATGTATCGAACCCGTAAAGGACGAAATAATGAATAGATTGGATAGCAGTCAGTTTACTTACATATCTTGAAGAAGCTACACCGAAACGCTTGGCTTTCTGACGAACAACACAATAGGTAGCACAGATAAATGTAGAAGCGTATTGCGGATGCTGTTTCTCGACTCCTCCAGCATTTAATACTATCCCGCAGCAGAAGGTGCTGGAGATGCTTGCATTATTCTCTATATGTCAGTAAAACTGAATGGTTCAGAAGTAACTTATCGGGTTTACAATGTCTCAATAACTAACAATTCTTCATCTTAGCAGAGTAACAATCTTGGAATTATTCAGAGCTTGGTGCTTTCTCGACCGCTGTTCAATCTGTACCCTAACTTGTGTCGCACTGAGTATCTGATTATCAGTGTAAAATATACCGACGATCTAACCATCACTGCACCAATTCCAACGATGCATAACATAGAAGCATATGAAAATGCTGTTCATGCCATCGAGCACATGGCGTTCGATTTTGGTCACATCTTCAATCATTCGTCGAGTCAGTCGAATGCCGATTATGCGGAATACTCGGAACGTGACACTAGATACAGGATAAGAACATGTATCAGTAACGAAACTCTGCCGAGAGGGAGTGAAGTCAAGTACATGGTTGTCGTGCTGTCTTCAAACCTAGGATGGCTGCCCATGTAGCGGCTGTTTT